ACTGCGTTCAACAGATGCAAATCTGAAAAATACTGTTAGGTGGAAGTTTGCTAACATCAAAATATGCCACTGCTATTTCATGTGTCATCTATTATGGTATAACACTGAAGTGGCTTAGCCTTAATGATCTGTGTAAATAAATCTAAAAAATACTTTTAATTAAAAATAAATTCACACACAAGTAAATACAAATTTGTATTTATATTCATCATATATGAAATCATAACAGTCACTGCAGAATTAGTAAGAATGCCATTCATTTTCAAAGCTTACCTCTCTTGAAAAGCTCAGCCTCCCCATCAAGTTGAAAATCTCAGCTAGTACATAAATAACAGAAGACAGACAAGCGTGGAAAATCCTAACCAACCCTCTACTGAAGCTAGTCAGTGGCATACACTTCGTGAAATACGTCCTTTGACACTGAGTAGTGCGTGGGCTCAGCACAGAAGACAGACGAGAGAAAGAATCATACATTGTGACATCAGTGACTACAATTTATTTTTAGATTATTACAGTACAAATCTGAGCATTCCTAGCTAGTGATCGTTCCAGCATGTGGTAATGTATTCGTTTTGAATTAGCTGTGACACTGGTAAAGCCCCACCTCAGATCTCACAGGGTAAGCCAGAGTTCTACAAGAGCTGCCTCTCTTCAGACCCTCACATGAGCTATGCATAAAGTAACCTTTCTTCATACACAGCTTATTTCTAATGTCAAAATTCATCCCCATTAGTTTACATGGGTTAAAGAGGGATGAGCTTGCCAGTAACATCTCCAGAATAATTTCCTACCTTTTAAATTCAACCACTGCAAACTGTCTATAAATCCTATCTTTTAATTTTCTATTATCTACCCTTTCCTCCATTTTGAAGTTAAGAAAAGTTTGTTACCATTGTACTCTATCTCATTGCCAAAAATTTCCCAAAAGTATTGTCAGTAAAACTTGTTCTTCCTCTTCTTCCTTTACAAGACAGCAAGATGTTTTTTCTCTTTTGTGTTTGGGGTTTTTTTATTGTTGCTTTTTTATTTTTCTTTCAAACCCCATCTGGAGACTACTAAAACAAATGCAATGAGAAGTGGAGAACTATTAAAAGGTGACAGAGTTGAGTACATAACCCTATCACGTGTGAGGATAGAAATGGCTCACGGCATAAGCGCTTTACAAACATTGCTTGAGAACACCTGAGCTGAACTGTGATAGCTGCAGTTGGACATGAGATACTTATACTGATTTATGCAGCTTATGTTTATGTTTTATTAGATTTTTTATTATTATTATTTCTTTAAAGAATTTCTTTAATTCATTGCACACAACTAACCAATTTACTCATGCAGAAGAGATCTTGAATCCCAGTGACAAGTCTTCAAGCGACAGAATGACTAAATTATATGCTGGTTAGAGCATGATGCTTATTCCTGTCCTACCCAGGTGGAGCTGTTCTTTACACTATGTGATTCAGCCATCAAATAGCAGCATGCGTGTTTGAAAGGCCAGGAGGAGGCTGTATTGAGAACCTGTCAAAAACAAATGTGGAAACCTCTATGTAGCAGTCAGTAAATGTTGTTTGAATCGCTCTTTTGTTACAAAAAAAAAAAAAAAAAAAACCAAACCACAAAACAAAACAACAAATCCTTGTTTCTATACGATACCTTTAATACAAAGCTTCAGTTAAAGAGCTTTTCTTTCTGCCTCTTGCCTTCATCTCTACATGACAGGCCTTCAGCTGAAGGATACTATTAAGATTGACATTTTTATCAAATGTAAAAATTTTCAGGTGAATGATCTGCCCAAGAACATAGGATCAGCTAAAAAGATACAGCATTTTTAAGAATATAAAATATCTAGGATAGCACAGCATCTCCAATAAACCTACCAGTTTTATCACTTGTCCTAATTTAATCTAGTTGGTCTATTTCATTCATGCTATGAGGTTTGGTTTTGTTTGCTTGCATTGTGATGCTTTTAAAACAAATTACACTGATCACTGTGCTTTGCTGATCAAGAAAAAAAATTGGGAATTTTTGAGTTTACAGTCTACATGTATGCACGTGTGCACTGCATTTTAAAATAATACTGGGAAAGTGATCATTCCCTCCAGAAACACAGAATAAAGAAAATGTATTTTCTTACCTATGTGAATGTATTACAGTATAGACCAAAACTAAGGGTAGCAAATTCAATTTAAAAAAAAAAAATAAAAAAAAAAAGCGGAAAAAAAATTATTCAAATTAGCTTTGAATTAACTTGGTCCTCTTGAGGACCACAATGTTTTGGATGTCAAACTGAATTTCAGTTTTAGTATCTGGTACAACTTAATAGGTTGCAGTTCCACAAAACACACCACCACCAACTGGATCTACATAATATACAGGCATATCAATATAGAAGCAAGAGAGAGCAAGAACGGCTATATATTTATACACAAAGGAACAATACTTAAAAGATTTTATAAATGAGGTCAAAATCAAATTTCTTTTTCTACTATTCTGATAAAATTACATATAACCATAGATACTGCTGTTTTGAGTAACCAAAATTTATGACATTTTCATGTTCTCAGACTAATGATTCATTAGAATATGATTCATAAGACAATATATGCAACTCTCTACTGTGTAAGAGGTACATCTATATAGGGGCCACCTATACAGGACCCCACAAAGATAGTGACAGAACATAAAATGCATATTTTTAAGTAAATTAAAAGAAAATGCAAGGTTTATTTGGTACATGAAATCAGCTCACTTTTAAAAAGCAAAGCCATGCTTTAACCTAGGAATTATAACCAATGGAACCAATGGAAATAATTACTTCTTAGGCTGACAGTTAATTTCTTTAGTGTTAACAGAGGATTTATACAACTAATAATAAATAAACCTGATTTCTGTCCCCAAAAATATGAACTACTGCCCTTTCATTTTTGAGATCTCTATATTAGCAGTTGCACTTATGTTTTTAGAGGAGAAAAAGATCAGTGATTTCTATTTTGGTCTAACTGCCTGCAGATTCCTCCAATTAAGAATTGTTTTCTAATCACCTATTTCTCAATACATGGATGTACACTCCCAACATTAATAATTTAAAACCAAAAACCAAGCTAGAATATTAGCACTGTTTGCTTTCAACACTTATCAAACATGGCTAAAGAGGTGTTTTGGGGTTTTTTGGGGAGAGGATTTGGTTGGGGTTTTTTTGGTGGTGGTGGTGTGTTTTTAGATACAAAACAAATAACCATATCTCTGCCTTTCAGCCAGATCCCTCCGACAGGCAGTACCTGCACTAAGCCTGTGCCCGTGGACAGCCGGACACAGGCACCCTGTACCGCAGCTCAGGTGCCGCCGTTCCTCCGGGCTTCACCGCCCGACCGAGCCTCCTTCGCAACCGGCTCTGCCGCTGGCCCGTTCTGCGCCTCCACTCCCGCAAGTTTTCCCAGCTCCTCGCTCCCCCCGCCGCCCCAATCCCGACAACTCCCCCCGCGTTCCCCTCTGGATCTCCGCTCTCCCGCGGCGGGCGCGGGACGGCCGCGCGGCGCTGCGGCGCGGGAGGCGGCGGGAGCGGCTGGAAGGGCCCGCACCGCCACCTGGCGGCCGCGCCCCGCCCCTGCCGCCACCGCGGCCCCCGCAAACTTCGCTCCCCCCAGCGCCGGGCGCCCGAACCGGCCAAGTTTCCCGGCCGCGCAGGCATCTATTCTTAGCCCTGCTTCAGGCACGACGGCGGGACACCTGCCCCGCTCTGCTCCCGCTACCGCTACCGCTGCCCCGTCCCGCACCCTTCCGCAGCGGCTGCAGCCGCGGCGATGTGTGCGGGGGCGGGAGGACGGAACGGCGGCCGCCGTGGGGCCGCCCCCGCTCCCCGGGGTGGTGCGGGGCTGCTATCGGCCTTTCCCCTGGGAAGGGGCAAAGCGCGGCGGCCCCCACCCCGCCAGCCCCAGCCCCAGCTTTGCAGAGAAGCCGATTTACTGCCGAGCTGGGGATGGAGGCGGGGGGGAGTGGGGGTGGGTGGCAGTGGTGCTTGTCTTTTTTTTTTTTTTTTCCCTTCTTTTCTTTTTCCCCCGCCCCCCGCCACCGCTCCGCGCACGCTGGCTCTCCCCAGTGCCAGTCCCCGCTCATCACGTGCGGAAGCCCATGCCCATCACAAAAGCGGGCATTTTACCCGTGCCCGGAAAGGAAAGAAAGAATGAAAAAGAAGAAAGGAGAAGGGGAAAAGGAAATTAAAAAAATAATAATAAAATAAAGGAAGAAATAAAACCCACCACGGAATAGCTCAGGCAAAAGCGGGTGAACCGCTTAATCCAAGAAGAGCAAAGATTTCCTCTGAGCAGCCGCCTCCCTTGTTCTCTCTATCTCCCCCGTCCCCCCACCCCGCCCTTCCCCGTCCTTTTGCTTTTTCGTGCTTGTGGTGGTGGCGAGGAAAGTGGTTAACCAAAAAACCTACGTGTTGGTTTTGTGTTTCCCTGAAAACCACAGGCGCACACAGAGCATGAGGTAGCGCTCCTGCCCCTCTCCGCGCTTGCAGGAAACTGTGGCTTTGCTCTTTCTCTCTCTGCCTATACTGCAGATATTTTTCCCTCCTCTCCTCCACACTCTTCTGTTTATTTGGCTGTAAGGCAGAGCTACTTTGTAAACATCTCACATAGAACCCCAGAGCCTTTCCAAATAGCTGATTGCAGCAAAATGCCTCCAAACAAATTATGGTGCAAAGGGGATATAGGGGACGAGAACGAAGCGGGTAAAAAAGAAATAAATTTGCATAAATATCGATATGTGACAGCGAGATCGCGTATGATGGTGGAAATGTCAGAAAGAAAGTATCGCTTTATCATGATGGGAAAGTATAAGCACAGACGACTGCAGCAAACTGCTCGCCCTTTGCCAGAGTACCAACTGCAACACCTCTCCCTTTTTCCCCCACCCTCGCCGAAAAAAAAAAAAGGGGGGGTAGAAAAAGCAACAGAAAAAAAATTAAATTAATACTCAAACTGCAAATCCGATACTCCTACCTTAACACTGGGATAGCTGCAGAAGCATAGGGGTCTTTTTTACACAGCCAGAATCTTTCAGGAAATCCTCTCGGGCTATCATGCAGCCAGGATTATTCACACAGGGTTCCTGCTCTCCTTTTTGGAATCCAACGCGATTGGCTTCTCCAAAGGAATGCAACGACCACGAAAGGGGGGAAAAATTAAAAATAACAACAAGAAAGACAACAACACTGGATTTGAAGGAAACTCGTGTTCTCGGTTGTAAGCGACCTACATTCAGGAAGAAAATTCATTGCAATCAGTGCGAGAGGGAGAGTTGAGTCTGCGAGTAGGAGCTGTGATTGCCTATGCAGAGAGACCGAGCCGCGGAGAGACTGATCTGCAAGGCAAGGCGAGCTGGGAGAGGGAGATGGGGGGGGGGGGGGGGGGGGGGGGGGGGGGGGGGGGGGGGGGGGGGGGGGGGGGGGGGGGGGGGGGGGGGGGGGGGGGGGGAGAGAGGGGAGGGGGGGAGAGGTCCAGGCTGTACCAGGCGCTCTCCTCCCGCTATTGGACCAAACTGAATGAAATTCACAAAGCCGGCAGCCAATGGCTCTCCGCAGCCGGCCCCATCGCTACAGAAACCGCATCTCCATCCACAGCCCCCTGCGAAGGAGCGTCGCATCCCCGCGCGAAGCGGCGCTGGCGGAGCCGGTTTGGGGACCGGGGGGCTGCACAGGTGGGCGCTGCGCACACGAAGGAGTGAAGGTGTACCTGTGTGTGTGTGTGAGTGGGTGTGCGCTCGGGGGGTCACACAATTCAGGCTGTCGATCTCTCTGCTCTATGATCATGTACAGCAAGTGCAGTCTTTGTTAACCCTTTGCAGCTGCAGTTTCTACAGCACCAGCCTGTTGTTACCATATTCACCTATATGCGTTTTCATTGCACTCCAAGCAATGAAGCATTTTGTTCCTGTTCCACTTCCTCCCATAGAAAAACAGCAAAGTAGACATTTGCTCATTGCCCAATCTCAAAATAGATTTTCTTTTCCTTTTTTCTTTTTTTTTTTTTTTGTAAGCAGACCAATTATTTGATGTGTGTATTTTAATTACCTAACTACTAAGCTAACTGATTGTCAAGTGTGAGGACTGAAGAGGGGGCCCTGTGGTTATTGCTAAGTACTACAACACAGGGTCTCTGGTTTGCTTCCTCTGTGTAGTTTCAGACTGAGGGCAGTGTAGCAAATATGTGCTCAGGCCTCCAAGAGATATGCTATGTTTCACTCCACAGCATGTTCCCCTGATCAGTTTAATAACAGCACTTAACATTGTCCAGGGTGCGAGACCCTGCACTGAGAACAGTTGAGGGTTGGCTAAATTCTCTGAGAACAAAGCAGAGAACAAAATAAGGGGATCTTGAAGATCTTTCCATAATTTGAAAGAAAAAAATCAAATTCATATCTTGAGGAGACTTCCAGACACAAGAGTTGTATTAGATTTCGTAAGTTGAGTCTTTGAGATTTTCAAATGCTGAAAAAAATAAATTAAAAAAAAACCAAACCCTTCAGCTCTTTTTTATTAGATGTTTTGTTTCTACCCTCACGTCAGATCCTCAGAAGAAAGCAGATAGTGCTTTGTTTTCTCAAATCTGAATTCTTCCTGTGATATTGGGCTTATCAACCACTTCTATGCACTCCAGTTTCAAGTGGTAAAGGAATATATACTATCTGATTTAAAGATATCATCTAACAGACAACAGTAGGCCTGTTGTTGGTTCTTACATAGTGTTTTGTTATATAGTATGAAGGATACTTCATTCAGTGTCACTTAGGAAGTCATGTTTTGGTTTTAAATGTGGTAAATCTGAATACAGGTGTAATTCACTGACTGGAAATGTTTTAAGCATTGCAATAGCTGCATTACACTGTAAACTTATTTGTCAGTAAAGTAATTACATTTATATTACTTAATTATGTGTTTTGCCTTACTTATTTTAAGTGACTCTAGCAGCAGGTGTTCATGCAAGTGAATTTTACTGCTTTTGTTATTTTAATAACACACTCACAATGTGCAACCAATCATATTGCTTGACTGAGTGAATATTTTGACACATTTAGAAAAGATGTCATCTTGCACTGCCATCTGTCCCAAATTCTGCAGGACAGTCTTTATTTTGATGAGTATGTCATGCATTTTATAAGATGAATTTGGAAGATATTAAAGTATGCACTAGTTAATCTGAGTAATGATCTTTCACCTGTGTTGTACTATCAGGAGGCAATTTGTTACAGGTTACCAAAGGATCATCTCTAATGTTTGCAATTAATTTTTGCAAATATGACTTTAAATATTCTCAAACACAGCAATAAAAACTAAACTTTCTCTAGACTCCACACAAATACATGATCAAACCATTTAAGTCAAAGGCATTTGGTCAGAACAGCAGAATGTACTTTCGTCCTCTTACAACTTTCAAAAAACTAAATGTACAGTTGAAATCTGTGGCATATCTGTATCACTCTATTGCATATTTATAACACCAAGCAGGAGTCCAGGAGCAATCATTCAGAAAGAAGAATACCACTTGCTATATAACACCATCACTTCTTACAAGGTCGCATTGTATTCTAGTATTAATGCAACTTGTTTTGCTGGGTTTGGCTGGGATAATTTTATTCATGGTAGTTAGTATGGGGCTGTGTTTTGGATTTGTGCTTGAAACAGTGTTGATAACACAGGGATGTTTTAGTTGTTGCTGAGCAGTGCTTACATAGCATCAAGGCCTTTTCTGCTCCTTACCCCACACCACCAGTGAGCAGGCTGGGGGTGCACAAGGAGCTGGGAAAGGACCCAGCCAGGACAACTGATCCCAATTGACCAAAGGGATATCCCATGCTCAGCATATAATGCTGGGGGAAGAAGAAGGGGCAGACATTCGGAGTGATGGCCTTTGTCTTCCAAAGTCACCACCATGTGTGATGGACTTCAGCTTTTCTGGCCTGCCACACAGGAAGTGGTGAGCGAATTCCTTGTTTTGCTTTGCTTGCATGCACAGCTTTTGCTCTATCTATTAAAATATCTTTATCTCAGCCCATGAGTTTTCTCACTTTCATACTTCTGATTCTACCCCCCCCCATCCTGATCAGGAAGTGAGCGAGCGGCTGCAAGGGGCTTAGTTCTGAATGGGGTTAAACCACAACACTTGTAAACAGTGAAATCTAAAGAAATGACAGTACATGACAGTCTGACTGAAGACAGTCGAAACTCTGCTGGGTTCCATCCAACGCAACTTCTTTCCGTGTCAGTCAAACTGAGGCATAATTTGTTCTACTGTGTCCAATCAATGTAAAATTTCCATGAGTTAATTTCTAAGTCAGATAAAGCATGTTGCATACTAAGGCTTGAGTTAATAGAAGAAAA